AGTTCTATAAAACATCAATTCAGTGTACAGAAACCATCTTAAAAAATTCAAAAACCCTGCCCCAAAAACCCAAACTGAAAATACTGTGATATTGGAGTTATCAGAAAAGAAGAGACACATCAAGTATCAGAGGAGACACATCTATGGCATCACTTTGTGATTTTTAAGTCCATAATGCTCCTGCATTTTTAGTACTGACTGCTGTTCAGTCTTCTCACTTCTCACCCAAATATATGAAAAAACACAGAAATTACACAGAGAACAGCAGCAGAGTTTTAAGGCACAGAATGCTAACAACTGCACATTAGGACTTCTTAGCTTAGAGGGAAGAAAAGTGCAAAAGATCACTATAGTGACGAGCATTAATAAAGGGAAAACAACTGCTGACAGTAACAGACAAATTCAGAGGCATTAAATAAAATTGTTGGATTGAAGGTGTGGGAACAGAAAAAAAAAACAAATGGGAGAGCTGCACAATCCATTAAAAAATTACAACATTTAACTTCTCAATTATGTTGTAGATGTAGGCATGGCAAACTTCAGCAAGTTTAAAAATAAGTCTATGCAGAAATTTCATGAAGAGCTATTAAAAACAGAGCCAACACTTCTGGCACAGGAAAACTGCAACATGAAGATGAATAGAAAGCGGCAGAACAGACCACAGCATACTGTCATTGCCCTGCTCGTATACACTTCTGGTATCTGCAGTAAGTGAAAGCCAGACCCAGGACAAGTAAAATGGACTTTTACCACAACTGCAGTACAGCTGCTCTTCTGTTCTCAAATACTTAATTTCACAGAGACAAAATCTCCATCAACATTTAAAAGTGCTATGCACACAAAACATGGGACAAATGGTGGAATGCACTCTGCCCTCTCACTTCACCAATCATGACTGAACAAGAAGCACAAAAACCCTGCAATGGTAAATGATGCTCTGCCAAAAGCAAAAAACCCATTTTTTTAGGACCACATAGTGCATTCCCAGCTTCCCCAGCAGTTCTCACTGGGGACTAACTGAAGTAGCAGCAACAACTTCACAACTTTCACCAACTCCACCCTGTGTCAGTCAGTGCCAAGCTATCTTTTTCAACTCCCTTTAAAACTATCACTGTACACACCTATGTTTAGGTCTAGTTCTGTCTTTCCTGGCAGTGTGGCCAATATATTTAAGCAAACACACATGTCACCTCAGAAAATTCTGCCCATTAGTAGATGCTTCATTTGGTGAGCAGTTTTCCTTTTTGCAGCTCAGAGCATCCTGTAGATAAATGTACAAAGCTGCAAGATCTTCACAGGAGGTCCCTGTTAAAAATGAATTCACAGCCACTGCAGCAGTTTTAAGGAATGATCACAGTTCAGATGATAAACAGAAATCCAGTGCTCAAATTCAGTGCTCATTATTCTCATGTTATTTAGTGAAGACAAGGAGGTAGGGAAAGAAAGGTTACCTATGCAGACTAGATGGAATTAATGCAGAAAGATATGAACTCAGATATTCATGGTATATAACTGCTGCCTATTTACATGATACTAAGTACTGAGATAGTGCTCTGAATCCTTCTAGTATTCTGGATTCCCAGAGGTCTTCAACCACCTCCTTTGCCTCTTCTGAAATATGTCCAGCTCATCTACAAAAAGAATCTCAAAGTAATAAGAGAAAGGGTAACTTCATGTGACCATATGCATACCCTTTTTCCTGCCCACTCCTATAAACATTAGAGTTGATGAGAACACTGTCTTACTAGAAAAAATTTAAATTCTTCATTCACACAATTATATTACTAAACCCACGATGGTAATGAGATTATCCACATGTTCTATGCTAAGGAAGCAGTGTCTTGCATTAAAAGCTTAGCTGAAATAGTGGCAAGAAAGAGCTGAAGAATTATCCTAATAAAGACTCCAGATTCTACGGATTAGAATTACGGCAGAACTTTGTGCCTTATCTCACTTTCCCCTGGTAATGACCAAATGCTCTGTAATCTTCTTGATGGTTGAGCTGAATAACCAAGAGAAACTGCAAGTGCACTAGGATGACAGTGGAGCGGGTTAGAGACCAATTTAAGACTTGAATACATGGAACTCAATTTCCTTAACAACAGGCTTCTCTGTTCTGCTGAACAGACCACCTCAAGAAGAGCCTGACTGATAAAAAATATTTAGCTAACTAAAGGTTTTCCTCCAAAGCAGAGCAGGATAAGGATTTCTCAGTGAAATACATAAAGAGCAAAAACAAACAAACAAAACCTTTCTACCAACACTACTAAAAAAACCAATGACTCCCTTTTATTTTGTTCTGAGAAACAGAATAAACATTTTATCTGAAGATCTACAAACAAATCAGTTACTGTTCAGCATCACTATAAACATTTTCAATTGGACACTACATGAAGTTTTAATTAATAAAAGAGCCCTATGACAGAAAATAATATGCAGCCTTAATAAGAAGAATCTGTCAGCTTGACCTCTAACATGCCACCATTTCAACCAAAACAGACAGGAATGGAAAAGGTTCTAATCCTTACCCTATTGAAATGTATGCAAGCTATGCATTTCACAAGAGTCACATTTCATTCATTAAAGTCTTTAGAAAAGAGACTATGACTTAACATCTACATGCTTTGAAAAATGAAACAAAATCTGAGGAGACATTAACACTATTCCATTGTCAAATGCGACATCTTTTTCAGAAAGTAAGCGCAGAGTGAGATAAAACTTAGAGATGATCCTATTTTAAAAAATAAAGACTATTTTGAATTCTACCCTAAGAAATTAAGTAATTACTGTTAATGTAATTTCAGCAACAAAACTTCACACGAAAGTGTAAATGTCCATTACATAATTTGAGTTCAAATTTTACTTTTTATAATGGAAAATTCTGCTATGTGTCTAAAAGAAGTAATTTTTTGGAAAAATCTTTTTCCATGCTGCTTTTTGATCAGTCAATGAAAGCTATGATTTTTACATGAATTGTGTGAACAAATGTCTATGTTTCACTTAAAGCACTTGCCAAAACATTTAATGCATATAAGCAACTCCATGTGTCAGCAGACCAGAAGAAATTTCTATAAAGTTACGTGAATGCCAAGACAAACTCAGCAACAGTTGCTTTTTTAAAATCTTGAAATATTTATTTTCCTATAGCAGCCACATGTGTGCATGAAATAATTAACAGGTAAGTGACACAAAGAAATATACACATGACAACTTAGCAAAACTTTTTACTTAACTTTCACTCTTGACATGCAAGCCTTACCCAACCAATTCTAGTTATATAGCAAGGAACTGGCCCTTGCATTTAACATTTTTCAATTCTATTATTAGAATTAAGAACTTCAACCACACAACTGTTCTAATATTTACAACTTATGCTTCTAAATATTACAAGTTTAGGGATCTTTATGAATTGTTTATGGAAAAAATTCAAATAAAGAAACAATCATGCATTTTACTTATTTAAATACATAATTTTGTTTTGTAATGCCATCCAACAAAGCACACAGGTGACGTTAACTATGTTGAGATGAGCAAAAAGTAAAACTGCCAAAAATATGTACTTCAAAGATCTGTGGTCCATGCAAGTCACTGTAATAGGATGCTCCATTTTCCACTGGTGTCAGCAAATGGTCATAAAACATGTACCAAGGTGACCCATTCTGTCATTTCACTGCAAATGGGTTCCATATTGGTCCAACATGACTCTGAAGATTTAGTGTCAAACTCTTTGGGCCATGCAGTGATAAAATCCACCATTTACTATGGACACTGATGCATCTTGTGCTCAAAACTTCTTGAGCTCAAGCTTCTACTATTTCAGGGAGAGTAAAAAAGAAGAGTGAAGAACTGAAATAGTTCCTTTTACCCTTGCACAAAATCTGTGAGTTCTAGCACTGCTAACAGACAGACTTTAACCTACCACTGTTGTCCAAGTGCTTAGCTTGGTATTGTTTCCACATTTGTTGCCTCAAAAATAACTTTCTGGTGTTTGGGGTGTTTTTTACTGTTGCTGCTTGCTTTTTAATTTGTTTTCTGGGGTTTTTTAATTGTTTACTAAGTTTAAGGGATGGCACATGATCAATATCCAGCTCTGGCATACCCTAGTTAATCCCAGTTATCTATGTTTCTGTGGGTTTTCCCCTCCTGAACAGCAGACCACATCAAATAAACTGACCAAGGAAAGGTATAGGTTCAACACACACCTAGGAAGATTTACGTGAGATTGTCAAAATATCTGAAATAGCCCAAGTATTACATTCACACCAAAGTTCACCCAATAGACAGCTCCTCAAAGTCAAGTAACACACCCTCAATGATTAATAATTTTTTGATTTTCCAATAAATAACTATGTTATACAAAATCTGAAACTCCAGCATTTCTTCATATATCAAGTTTTATCCTTGTAGGAAAAAATATCAATGAAAATATATTGCTACAAGTTTCTCTAGACTTCCATTTTGGCAGCTAATAGCTCACAGCGGCTTTTACAAACAGTATTCAAAAAATGCTTAGAAGAACAGTACAGTCTGTCTCACATTTTGTTTTATACAATTGGCATGCTTTATGCATTTTGATTCAAGAGCTAGTAAAATGGCTCAGACATGAATCAAAATAACTGCTATTCAAACACTACCTGAGTGTATTAATAGTTAATCCTTAAGTAAGATTACACATTAGGAGCACAGAAGACATGTGACAGACTATATTAGTCTTTTAAATACTCTGTATTCTGGGAAATGAAAGAGTTGAAAGGCCCAGCTCTAAACACTACTAAGACTTCTGGAAAGATCAGTAGTTATAATCTGCCTCCTAAAATCAGTGTTTAAGAAGGTATTGCATTACATCTTCCCATCATGAAATGGTAACATTGGTTATTATAACAGAAAACTAAAGGAAACAAATACAGCAATACAGACACAGATTTTTCCACACTGAAACAGAAAATACAGTCACAATTTCAAACACATCAGTGCAGTTTAGAATTATCTTTTAAACTTACTGTATTAGTTGAATCTTCTTGTAAAATTCTGTCATATAACTGGATAGCATCATCATACCTATACAAAGAAATGACTCACATTTATTTCTGCTAAGAACTTCTGACTTTTTGACTCTCATTGCAATAGCTAATAACCCTCCTGCATTTTTTAATACTGAAATATACATATACTAAGCACACTATATTTATACAAAATTCCTCTGAGAGTGGTAAGTATAAACAGCAGTCTTTTTTGTCACCAATTAAGAAAAACACATGGAAATTGCTTCATGAAATACCATTTCAGCAGCAACTTGTATATTTTACACCCAGTATCTCATTCTCCTGCCTGTTCTCTTTGTCTACCCAATAGGTTCAGCCAACACATCCCTACTCCCCCTTTTCACATCTCCCAAGAAACAGAAACTCCAAAACTTGAAAAGCCATCCAAAATAATGACATTCCACTTCACTGTTGTAACTTAAAACTTAATGTAAAGTTCCTTCTGTTGTGACTTTAAAAAGTATAAGTAGCTGCACACCAGAAACTGGAAAGATTCCTATAGGAGTCTACCACAGATTATAATATCAATCTTTACAGAAAATGTCTTCCACGATTTCCAACTTTTTTTATTTGTTTATCAATTAATTCTGTTATCTGAAATGTGCTTGAAACAGGTTACTTCAGGTGCTATGGGCACTCCAAACCTTCTGGGAAACAGCTCTGTGTGTTCAGTCAGCTGTGTACATGGCCCCAGCAAATGAAATAACTCAAACCACATTTCACTACACAGCTGTTGTGCTATTGCCACAGAACTAGGGCATACATTGTGTCTTCATGTGTAGTTTGACAAGCAGTTTGTTAGAGATACCACTGATTGACTTCTGATGCTCCACATTCCTTACACATCACCTCAGACACTCATTTACATACTTGCACTGCTCCCTAAGCACTGCTGACACTAGCATAGCTCAGCTGTCCACTCCAGCTACTCTAAGGTGTAAGAACTACTGTGAAAGGAAGCACAAAAGCAGAAAGAGCAGAAGGCAACTGCTACAGAACCGAGCAGACATGCTGTAAAATGCTGTATTTGTGCTCTCTGTTAGTTGCTGCTTTGTCAAATGCATTTTAGAAGACTGAATCTGACGGCCATAATCCCAGCTTCACATGGTGAAGTTCCAGAAAGTTATTCTTTTTATGAGCAAGTGTCTACAGGGATGTCTCAGTCTATGGGGATGTTCTTCACTGTTTCCTTTTCCTGTTTGGGAAAGCAGGATCGTCCCTAGATCCTACAGTCACTTGGAATTTAATAAGTAGTTCACTTCAGTTGAAGCGAAACATGATGCCTGCAGCCTAAATCTTTCTGGATTTCTTTTTTAGTTGGGGGAAAACAGACAGGCTCTGCTGGGGCAAGGCTTAGAGAACCTGCAGATGGGTTCCTGTTCAAAACAACCCCAAGCTGAAGCCTCTTTCTGCTCTGACTTTGAGAGAAAACCTACGGACATGAAACTTCGGGTTTTGTTATTTTCTCTGCTCCTTGATACTCTGATCTCAATAGTGCTTCACTGCTGAAACCACACATGATGTTTGTGCAGCAGTTATCTCCCACAAAGATCAGGTCCCATTCAGTAACATCTCTAATGCAGACACATAAGCCTAAAGGGAATTATGACCCATTGTACTTCTGAATAGGTTTCGGGAAGGGGGAAAAGCTGCTGTAATTCTCTGTCTTCCTACCCTATATAAAATGAAGACAAGAGAGCTTAGTTTAATGGAAATTCTTCAAAAATATGCATCTTATATAAAGTGAGTGTGAAACAGAGCATCTGGCTGCCCTGAGACAGCTCCTGTGAATGGAGTCTATTTATTCATTCTCGTTGATCCAAGCAATGGACACTTATCAGTGCTTCATATCAAATACCATTTTCAAATCTAATTTTGCAAAAATGTAATGGATGAAGAACATATGCTAAATAAGTATCTTTTAAAAAAGCATTTAGGCTGTACTTCCAATTCCTTTTTATCAAGATGGCCCAAAGACTCCAAACTCACCAACTCTGTGCAAAATGTGGCATGGAACAGATTTCCTATAATTCAAATGCACTGGAAGGTGTCATTCCTAACACCCAAGACAAGTGCTATAGAACAGAATGTTGACAACAAAGATGTATCCAAGGAGAAATGTGCACAATAAAGTTAATCCTCAAGTCCTGAGGTCATTCATTTGGAAAATTGCAAAGTTTTGATCTGTTCATTATTTTAGTAATTTCTGTTGAACTTAGTATGTTATAACCCTTTGACATGATATTTCAAAAAGGTCAGCCTGATGTTTATGTTCAGCCATTCTATTCCATTTGTTTTTTGATTTGTTTCTATAACAAACTCTATAGATTTAATCATTTTTAAGTTCATCTACCTACACTCAAGAAACAAGTAATAACGAGTAATAACGAGTACAGAAGAACAATTAAAGCAAAAAACCAGCTGGCACTAGTCTTCATATGCTGCCATAGCTCTCTGAGATGAAACCTAGGCCTTAGAGAATTTGCCAAAAAACTCTGCAGTGTTCTACTTTATAATGGCTTATGCTGTGAAGTAAGAGATCCTTCTGATCTATGATCTCTGATGGGAAGATTGCAAAAATGAAACACAGTACCTGCAAAAATGCAATACAGATGTCTAAAAATCTTAATATGATCATGCACAATGTTATTTCCTATAAAGAAACTGCCCAGCATTATTTTGCCACTTTGCAATGGCTGAATGCTTTTTTAAGAAAGAGCACAGATTTTTTTCAGACAGAAAGTACATTTTTTTTAAATTCAGGTTTTACCTTTCCATGGCTTCAAATCTCATTCCAGTTAATCGTTTAACTCTGTGGCTCCCAGGAAACTGCCGTCTCAGTTCCTGAAGACAAAACTATACAAAGAACCAAAAATACTATTGTGAATATAATTATCTTCACAGAAGCTAGAAGAAGAAAAAAACAGAAAAAAAAGGCCTTCACTCATAATTCAACTACCTGACATGCCAGTTCCGAGTAAAAGTAAATACCAATTTTTGAAACAAGCAATAAAAGGCATTGACAAGGTTGGAAACTGAAATTCTGTCTGTTAAGATGACTGATTTTAAGAAGTATCTTCCATACAGGGCATTAGATTGTCAGGCCCCCTTGGAAATAGTTATTTGCCCAGAAAATTACAATCACCTACTTAAACAGCTTTGACACTATTAAAACTTGAATTCTATTTAGTTGCCCCACAGTAACACAAGGCAGTAAAAAAAAACAAAGACAGTGAAAGCTTAAGTGATACTTCTTCAATAAATGGATATTTCACAATGGAACAAACTATGCTAATACAATGCTCTGTGTTTATTTTTAAAATAAAACTTTGTAATCCAAAGAAAATGTTTGCCACTGGCTTGGGTACAGCCTGCTGGCAGAAGAGGCATAATTTTTAACTCCTGAAATCAATGAGACACCTGGGTTGGATAAAAAGAATTCATCATAGGCAGATTTTTCTGGATTAGCAGAGGACATTTGGAAGAGGGACTGAGTCACAACTTCCCCACAGCAAGCTAACTCATAACCATATCATGGATGTGGCTAAGTAGCATTGTGAAGTTCCTAGCTGACTCATGACAGTGGGAGGCAGGACAGTCTATAGGCTCTCAAAACAGACCAGTGGTGTGCATCACATGAAAAGCTTCACACTGAATCCTCTTCCAGGCACTTATTTGTGCAACTCAACTTAGAAACTTGTTCTTCAGACATAAGGTTCTAGCAGAGGCCTATCTACATAATCTGTTTCATCTCATCAAATCCACTGGTCAAAGGACAAAGTACAAATCAGTAACAATTAGTAGGATCCCTCTTTGTTTCTGTAGATAAACAGGTTGCTAAAGCACATCCAAGAGGAATATTCACATCCCTCCCAGATGCTAAGAAATAGAACAGAGAAAAGCAACAGTGACCAAAGTTGTGATGCTTAGCCTCAAGCAAGAACAGACTATTTTCATCACAATCAACTTAATTTGCAATGAACCAAGATCCTTACAGTGCAATTTCACATAGAAAGGCTCAGGTTTAGCACAGAAATTGCTTACTGGCACTTTGAGTGATGTCTAGGAGAACTGCTGTTGCTCTAGTCATAAAAAACTACATGCACTTAGCAGCATGTTACGTGGTGACTGAACTAATCTCTGACCATTCTAAAGAGACAGGAAAAAGTTTTATGTCTCTAAAGAGACATAAAACTCCAGAAAAAGTAGAACCCAGATAACCTTGTAGACTTTGAAAAGAACTTTTGCATACAATAAATCCATCATGTGGTCTAGTGATCAGAGAACCCTGAAGGATTGTGATTTTTATAAACACACGTACTATTTTTCTCAAAAATAACAGTACAAATAAAAAAAATGTAGTATTTACAACACTAAAGTCCACAATCTGTAGATGAACTTTAAAACTAAAAAATCCTCATTGACAATATCAAAGTAGTGCTCAAGTGGAGGATTAATGCAAGAAGAGAATTGTTCACATTAGATCTCACTACACAACCATTACTGAACCAAACAGAACAGTCCAGGGGCCAAAATAAACTCCTGTAGATTAAGCTATCAGACACAGTAAAGTGACAGGAAAAGTCGTAGGAAAGTCATGAACAACTCACTGTAACACTGATAAAACCAAAAGCACATTAATAAACTATACCAGCTATATCTTCAAAATGTTCTGGACTCAGCAGCACTGAATGTCCTCTTTTTAAAATGGGACTTGTAATACCCATAATAATTTATTTTATTGAGGACTGGTTTTGCACCATGTCACAAGTAATGTACGTGTGACATTGTCTCAGAATTTTCTGTTACAATGGCAAAGACAATTTGCATGTGAAACTTCAACTCGCACTTCATTTGCCTTCTGACTTTTTAAACATCAGACAAAGGCAGAGAAATGTAAACCTGGACTTCAGCAGGTAGAACACTGATAATGCAAGTGCTGCCAACAATACGTGATTGCACTAAACCACCTGTGTGAACCAACTGGCTGGCTGCAGCAGGGGCATGCATTACACATGGGTTTTTGGTGCAGGACAGAAAGGACAAAGTAATAATTAAGGAAAGCAAAAGAAAAGACGAAAGTCAGAGAAATTACTCTGAAAACTACCTCAGCTTCTCATTTGGAGTAGATGATGTCTATCCCCCCCACAAGCAAAATGCATCCCAGCTGTCAAAATCTCACTGCTAAAAAAACAGAAGAGCCAAAGCTGTTCGTCTACTTTGGAGCTACAGCTCTAGTAAAATGCCACAGATGACATTAACCTGTTCAAACTAACTACTTATTTATAATAAATAAATAAAATTTTTAAAAAATTAAATCCCTCTAAGTTTCCACCTGTGCTTTTAATCTTATTTCCAAGCTGTATACAAAATGCTGCATTCTCTCATCTCAAGCAATATTCCTTAAAGGGCACAGGCACTGAAATCTAAACTCCCTGCCAGGGTTAGTAAAAATAAAGAACGTTTCACAACTGATCTTTCAACACTGGCTCTGCCAACAATTTTGTGAAAGTCTTCTTTAAAAGACCCTGAAAATAAAGACCAAATCTATTTTACATATAAATCAGGACACAGAAATGTATTTATTTAAACAGTAAGCCTATTTGTTTTTGTTTAAACAAACAGCTATACTACAACAGTACTTTCTTCTGAGGGACAAAAGAGAGGGAAGTTCAGTGGGTTCACAAGTTCAAAGTCTTGTACTACATTTTCCAGTATATTCCATTTCAAGATATATGTGTATATATATATATGGCCAGATAACCCTGTCTAGTTCTGCCTCCCTTCACCCCCCTTGCATTAAGTTTTACCCAAATGACATCACACAAACCTCAAAGATTTTATGAGGTATTTTGTCATCTGACAGAGAACAAGGCACTGGAAGAACAGTTGCAGTGAAAGACCTGGAGCCCTGAAAATGGCTTTTTACTTAGAGCAAGCTCAAGTCTGATGGCTTTCAGGGCACAAGGTAAGCCTTTGTTTTCTTCTGATTTTGGCTTTAAAGGATCAGCTAAACTGACTCAGTTGTTTCGTTTGTTTGTTTCAGTGGCTTTTTTTGTTTTCAATTTAACAACCAGGTTACAGTTCAAATAAGTTAATTCTATCTCAATTGTTATTTATATCATTCAAATAAATTTGCATACAAATTGACTCAAATATCCATTAACAATATTTTTATCAACAACCACCAAATAACTTTCATTGCAATGGACTTTTGGAGGTCACCTGCCCCAAATTCCCACTCAAAACAGAGCCAGTTTCCAAGGGTGTGCAGAGCCATACCCCAATCTATGTTTAAGCATTACCAAAGGAGATTCCACAGCTTCAATGTGCTATTTTTCATAAAGCATTCACTAAATTTTTCATAATATATAAGTGGAATTGCCTTTGTTACAGCTTATGTCCCACATTTGTCTTTTGTTTCACACCTATGAAAATATGTGCCTAACTTCTTTATACCTTCCTTCCCATCAGTATTCAAAAATCCCTTCTTGGCTTTCCTAAGATTTAATACAGATCTCCCAGCCTTTCATTACACACCATGCAGTCCAGCTCCTTATTAATCTTGAAGACCTGCTCCAACATGTCAGGGACTTTCTTTCAGGGTAGCCAACAGGATATATAATATATGTAAGATGGGTCATTTTACCTCAAAATATTCAGAAAACCAATATAATTTGAGAGGATTTCAATAAACAAACACTCTCTGTACAATATGGCAACTTCAATATTATTCTTGACCTTTAGCCCATACCAGAGTAGCTGTAAATATTTTCATGGCTATTGGAAGAGATGTGATCTGTCTAAACAAAAGTTATGCCTTAGAGGAGGTAAGTGGTGGCAGTTTCTTCATAGCTCTGCATTTCTTGATAGATATTCTTTCTACCAGTTCCAGCTATGGAGTTCAGAATATGTTGTAACGTCCAAAAAACTATCTGGAAGAGACACCCAGGATGAATACACAACAGTGTGAAAGGAAAGTCAGCTTGAAAACTTACCAATGCCAAATCATCTCGACTGCAGTCCAGGGCAGCAATCATCACCTGTTCATAAATTATCCAAACTGGACACAAAGAGACAGTAAATGCAGATAATTGGTTTGGGGTTTGTTTAAGATAGTAGGAAGCACCTATCATGTAAACAGGATTCATTAATTCTGTCTGTATATTTTCCCCCTTCTACTCCCACTAATCATGGCTGAAACACGAACAAATTAAGAAACTGCTGAATTAATCAACAACTTATTTAAGCAATTTAGCACTTTCAGTGCTAAATTGCTTAACAAAGTACTTTTTGACATCTTGAAAAGCAAAAAAGCTCTAATTCTCTATTTTTCCCAAAATCATAACTGCCATGTTCTAGACAGATCCCTGTGAGGACTTGCTTCAATTTCTGTCACAGAGTTGAAGAACAGAAAATCATGCAAATAATATCTCTGTAACAGTTTCAAATGAAGTTTTCACATTGATGTCTAAATACTAATATAGCAAGCTAACAGTTCTATCATGTAATTTTTAAGGCTGTTTTCACTGCAGCCCACATATGGGAAAGAAGTAAGCTCTTGGAATTCTGGAAACCTATTAGACTAAGAAAGCAATACATACTTCATCAACATCAGCACATACTAGAAGACAATATAAAGGCTGTTAACTAAAATACAGACTGAAAAAACAAAACCAAAACAGACAAGGGAACTTTTAAAATAGTGATTGCTTACTTACTGTCATCTCCAAGTTTAGATGCATATTCATTAATTAACTCTTCCCCAACATCCACTATCTGTTCACTGTTTCGGTAGTTTTCTTCCCTCCATTTCCTCATTTTATCACGCATATCTGTGGGCAAAGGGAGAAAAAAAATTGAGATTTTCAGATCGTAATGGCGTTTGAATGTGCACGTAATAGATAAGACACATCTGAAGAACAGGATTAAAGAGCAACAGAGCTAAGAAAGTGACTTCTACTAAAATTAAAAAACTACTAGAGAACAGATGTCTGAAACCTTATTACTCACACTGTGCTCATGCTCTAACATTATCAATTCAACTTCTAAGTTAGCAGTCTCTCAGGACAATAATACATGAAGTGAAAAAAATTGTATACCTCTTTATCCAATAAATAACAAAATTTAACCATTGTTAGGTAAAATAGGCTACACGAGATTTCTCCTGAGTAGTTTCACCCATTTACAAAAAAACACTAAAATTGCATTTCTGCTATAGGTGAATAAATTTTCACTTGAAATTTTAGAAAAAACATTAGAACTTCCACTCTGAAAGGAATCTACACATTTCTAGAGAAAGGAGCTCCAATAAAAGTACACATGGATGTGAAGGCTTTCTACATGAGGGAAGTGTCCAGAGGTATAAAAAATATCAGTTTACCCTAGGCAACATAGAAATGACAGTTTATTTTATTATAAGGATTTTTGTTCCAAGAGTACATTTAAGATCTCCAAGAGAGCAGGCATATTCATCAATGCAGCTAGAGAATGCTACCTTGCCTGAGCTTTATTTATCCTCTAAACCAGGAAATTGCTAAGAATTTGATTTTATATACATATACATTTATCTAAGTATAGCTGTTCTATACACAAGAACGAACTTTGAGAAAACTTAAGGCAAATAGTTTTCATTACTAGATAGTGGCTTTATTAATAAGAAAGTACCAGGATAACTCTTACTAGTATTTTTTTTTTTAATTTTACAACATCTGGAAAAACAAATACAGCAATAGAACTAAACACTGTCAGTTTTTCTTGCACTTCAAAACACAGAGTTAATGTAAATGACAGTTAAAAATTAAGCACTAGAAGTTGTTCCATCTACCTGAAGTGATCTCGGATCGCTCATAAGACTCTTATTGTGCTACATTTTGTGTTTTGAAATTCAACCAAAACCACCACAGGGTTACATTTCATATGCATGGGCAAAGTTAAATGGTTCTAGACATATGATGGTCCCTGGAAATTCAACGTTAGACGGCAAGAATGTGAGTGAACACAAACATTCACAAAAGCTGACAAGCTAAACGCCTAAAAATAAATAAGCTGTCTGATTTCCACCCACTCATTTACTTGGAAATTATCAATGCCTTCATTCCAGTGTGATTCCAAATGGAACAGTGTCTGAATTATGTATTAACAGAAGGTACATCTACCATTCATCACACAAGTCCAACATTTACAGCAATGGAAAAAAACTTCTAGGATAAAGAATAGAACATCAACTGATGAATGAAACATTTATTGATTTTAGAAATACTAAATTTTATGTAAAATGTAGAAGAAAGAAAACACTAAGAACTGCAGTAAAATTATACAAGTCTTTTTACAATGTTGTCAAATAATGAATTTTTTACTAAGAAATCTATCAAAAAGTGTCACACAATAATAGTATGAGTCTCGGAGACATAATACAAGGCTGGAGAGACACAATTACAGATTTTAGAAGAAAAAAACAAGTGAGATAAGGAAATGTCAAAAATTTAATTAAAACTTCTCCTGTCACCTATAGGCTGGTGCTGAGCAATTGATACATTTGTTTTAGATTCGGGTTTTTCTAAATTGGCACCCATGGCATGTGTAAATCACAATGTTACAAGGGAGACACTTGGGACAATGTTTACTTTTGCCCAAAACCACGGAAGCTAAGAGACACAACCTGTGTTTCATTTTTGTGTCCAGTAAGGTGTCAGTTCATTTGGCCTGAACAACCAGATATGAAAAAATCCTCCTATAATTACCTACACTTCCACTGATGAACTGGATCATAGTTTTCAAGTCCTTGAAATCTAAAAGCACCTGATGAAATGAAGGAAATTATCACTTTGGGGCAGACAGAAATTGCATACTCCAGAATGTCACATTGGCATATTGCTGCTACCACAGCAGTCGCACAGGGACCCCGCAGACGTTATATTTCCAGAGCTCATTTGTATATTGGTATCTCTGTTACAGACACCAAATCTTCACCCACAGCCCACCTCTGTGCACTCTCATCTGCAGGCAGAGGCACAGGTGTCACGCTGGGTGCTGCAGATTCTGCCTCTAACCCCAGCAATTCTGCTGTCTAAAGGGCTTCAATTAAAAAAAACCCCAGCAGATCACCTTTGCCTGCTGTAATCCCATAAATCCATATATAAAATCCAGAGTAAACTGACCTGACCCTTTGATTACAACTGAAAATTAGAAATAGCTAAAATGAGAGCAAAGACAGCACAGAACAAAACCACATCAGAAACAGCTAATTGCACATAGATTATTACAGAGATGAAATGGCAGATGTGTCCTATTTCCTAGAGACTGGCCATATATACTGAATATGGATTTATTTTCTAAGTCATAGAAGGGGAGTTTGTCACCTAACATTAAAGACAGAAGTGCTCGGTTTTTAAATTAATTCATAATTTTCTGGTTTTGTATATAACGTGTTCCAAGATACACACATTGGTAAACTTCATCTTATAAAGCATTTTATGATATTTTCAAAAATGACAAAGAGTTTCTTGAAAAAAGTCTCACAAGAACACGATAATGAAAACTTTTAAAGTGCCACTATTGAAGGAGTGTAATTTTTAATACAGAAAATAGCAGTACTAATTTAATGTTACAGAGAACTTAAGCAAGAGGCATTCAGAGCTAATAAATATGTAAAAAAAATACTTCTTCATTTTTTAAATTTATATCAAAAGAAAGCTAGTTTAAAGAATATGCCATTCCTTTCTCTTTTTCATTTTGATAACCACTTAAGAGAATTATTGACTGAAAGAAGAGTTGCCGTGACAGCACTCAAAGATCCCCAAAAAGCTCAGCAGTGACAGCTGAAAGGCACTGCTTCCCTTTAGCAGGGCGTGATGTGTTTAACACCATTATGCTGCTGTGCAAGGTTAAGAAAAGAAAACCTGGCTCATTCTGTCCAATTCTGACAATATGTCAGATGCATTTTCTGTGAAAGTCAATTGTTATTTTAATAGTTCTTGAACTGCTGCCTGTGTGCAGATTGTGCTAATTTTACACTTGTGTACTCCAAAACCTGCTCTTCAAATGAAGTTATACAGGTGTTTGCTTTTTTAAATATTTCCACTCATGGGACAAATTCATCTTTAATGTATCACTGAAAACATGATAAATATTTATTCTATGAAGTTCTACATAACTTAAGAAGGCCCTAGTAAGAGGTTACACATCACCAGGTACCAAGTGATGTGCAAACCTGCTACATCACACTCCTTGGCTACACAGACAGTTTTTGGTTTCCTGTCACTCCAGAGTTTCTAATTCTTTTATTTATGAAGGAACCAGGAAATATGCCATTTTCTCCAGAATAATTAGAACCAGTATTAAAAAAAAAAAAACAAAGCAGCAACATTACACCTTTGTCTCAAGTAATTAAGCTTTACTGTGAAATATTATGTTACATAACAACATACAAGCTACTCTTGCAATAGCACAGTATTCTGTGGTATTGGATCATCTAAGTCCATTGAACAAGACCAAAAAGTTAAACAAGATGTTTTCCTGCTACACAGATTTCCAAACACACTTAAAAGCTTGAGATACAGCAACAAAATAAAGAAAGAAAAAATAAAAACCACAGCTCCAACACTGGAAAACACAGTTATTTTCAGTTATCTTTCCTAACCACCTGTACCATGCATGTACGTAAAAAAAATTAACCATGGTTAAACTTCTACCTCTGTATCAAAGAATCTGAGTGAAAAGCAAAGCAAGGTACAGACTACTTCATTTGTTACATGTTATTCTTTCCTAACCTTGAATCATAGATTCATCTTTAAGCAATATGTAAGTATAAAATGTCTTGTTTAGAAAGGCCTGGGTATATAAGGACATATGAACCATGCACCTGGTTTCACATAAATTAGGCATTTTAGGGGGATTCAAAATGAGCTACATAAAGTTGCCAGAACTGTGTTCAAGTTCTTTGCTAGGAACTAAGTCACAACACTGTTGGGATCTCCTCATCCATGAAAAGCTACATTGCACTAGGATCTGTTAAAGCTCACACAGAGAACAGAGAAAAGCTATCTTTTTTAAGAAGAGTCCTTGCATGGTCTGTTGCAGGACTCCTTTTTCACTTTACTTTACTCTTGCAATAAAGAAAAAAAATACAGAATTTTACAAATGTGTGCTTCCAAAGTGGAGACAGTCCCCTGTACCAACACACACCAGCCTTTCATATGGATGAACACTTGAAGAGATTGAGAAATTGGTATGATAAAACTCATAAGCTGGTCGTATGAAATTTCTCATTCAACCCCACCCATATGCAAAACTCTACACCTACCACAATGCCACAACTGTAAATGAGCATTCTTGGAAACAAAATGTGGAGGTTATTTCAAAGAGCAGGAAGCTCACCTCAGTATGAATTAGCCAAGTCCAGAAGCAGTAAGCTTGAATATCCTACACCTGGCCTCTACGTTGGAGCATAAACATACACTCTGCAATACCCTGGGCCAAAACAATCTAGGGCTGAATGTACAGACATGTCCACATGAGTGTTACCCACCCTGTGAAAAAGCTCATTGCTCTTTTCCATCATTAACACCCAAGAACAACTGGGGACCAGAGAGAGCCTCGCCCCGCTGGAGGGGAGCCTCCGAAGGGCCGAAGCTTCAGGCAGCCGGCGCCTGTCCCGCCGGGCTTTTGGGCTCTGTTGGTCCGTGCTCGCGTCGGGAGCGCGGTGACGGGGCCACGTGTGACCCCCAGTCCGCGGCGCTCCATTCCTGTCTCGCCCGCGGACACCGGGGTTAAAACGTCAGAGCCCAAACTTCAGGTGGCACTAAGGGCTGCAGGTTAATTCTCTGTGTTACAGTC